TTTTCCGGCCTTTAGCTGTTGTATTGTGAAATCAGGGCTTTCCCTTTCGAATATTCTCCCTCGATAACCTGATCGGAATATATTATTTCCAACAAAGAAAACAATTCCAAGCGTCGAGTTCAACACCAACAGGAACCTCCTTGTGAATATATTACTATAAAACTTTCTTCTGGCTACGAAAAGGGCTATCTCACTTCATCAAACGCCAAACATATTGTTTTCCACCAAATCCAATAAACTAGCCAATCAATCTCGGTTAGGTTATCGAGGAAAAATAAATAAAAAAACATTTATTTTCAAGAATATACATTAAAATTTACATAATATATGCAGTTATGATTATTATTAGTTATGACTAGGTTGGGTTTTAGGGTGTAAAAATTAAATCTTACGCTAGACAAAATGTTGACAAAAGTACAATTGTTAACACAAAAAAAAAAAAGACCAAGAATTCAGTAAAGGAGCCTCCTTGTGTAAATTACGCTTACTGGAAAATATTTTTTCTTTTAACCTTTATATCCGTAAATAAAACTGTCAACAAATATAGTGTCCTTTATGGCTTTGTATTAAATTATATTACAATAATTGTTTTAATCGTTTGCAACAAGGGATTCTGTTAAACTGGTTTCTGCATTACAAAAAAAAAAAGACACACTTTTTAGCTTCGACGAGACAGCTATTTTTTTGCTATTAATTATCATTCAAATCCGCCGTTTTATTTCCGCTATAAAGGGCTTTTAAAGCTGTCTCATTGCGTATAACTAACTTTATTCATAGCTTGGCGGTCCTTCAGTATAATATGTATTTTAGCTTTCCCGTGGAACCGATGTGGTATAGTTTTTACAGATATGTGTTTTTCAATTTTTTTTATTTTAGTGCCCCAGAAAACTTTTTCTAGTTTTAGTTTGTTGTCCCAAGCACAGTGACCGGAAAAAGCAGTAACAAGTTTGACGAGAACGAACAAAATCTAAAACCAACCGAAATTCTGTTGTAATCGCTAGTAAGTATTCTTTCCGAGTAAATAAATATAATAAGTATACATGTCGAGTGCTTTCAAATCCTATTATTTAAGAGATTATACACGTTGTTGTAAAATAGCGGATATGATTCAGTCGTGATTTCACGTGTGCCCAATTTTCTTTCATTATCAGTTACCATATAATTTTAGTTGCAATGCAAAAATTGAATTGACCTTAGGCACTGTGTAATTTATCAAATAATTAAAATACAATTTATCGTTACTTACTCGATTAAATCCTTAATTGGAAATTTTTTTTTTGTACAGACTAACACGTACGTCGTACTCTGGGCGTCGCCACTGTGTTGTATTTCTTTTTTTTTTTTGAGTATGTATTTTTTTAGTCATTTTTCTTATACATTAACATCAAAGGAATTATGGACCAACAGTGAACTGTGTATTGCCTGGGCCCGGTGGACCGCGGGATTCAAGTTACAACATCACTAGCCGGGGTGGATACAGGTAGGGGATATTAGTGCTGGAAATACATTCAAATTTAATGATTGCTTTGACCCAACTTTGCTAACATATTCCGTACTGATTTACACTATACTCGGTTTGGGCTGTGCTGCTGGGGTTTTTATTATAAATTTTAAATAAAAGAAATAACTTAGTACCTAACATAAAAGCCAATGAAGAAACCCATAAGCTTTATTTATCAGACTGCACATGATTCCGGATTGTACCTTGCCAAAACCCGTGAACTTGGTTTTGCTGGCACTGGTTTTGACGTTGTTTAAATTGGCTTCGACATTTGGGAGAAATCTGATATCCGGCGCGCTGTTCAAGTGATAAAAGATCAACTCAAAAGTCTGTAGGTCAGGTTAGCGCATTTTGTTATATTTTTGGTGAAATTACACATTTAAAACAAATCTTACACCATAATTAAAACAAATTATATGAACGTTATTTTGGCTTTCACGTCGGGCAACAAGACAAAGTTTCGGTTGCTCACATCTGTTGTGTTACACGTGTGGGATTTCCTACTGGATGGGCAAAAATATCTCTCCTCTCGGAATTTTGATGGAACCCACAGTCATTACAATAAATCAATTGGTATCCAAATTATTCCAAATACCAATTCTATTATAGTAAACCTTATTCTTAACATAATCAGTCAAAAGTTTTCATGTTACACACAAAAAGCGAATTTTTGTTGACCGATGTAAGGTTATTGCTTAAGTATTTCTGGTCATTTCGGTAAAACATTTAGTTAAAATCAAAATAACTTCATGATCAAAGATTTTTTAAAACAAAAGAATTATGATCGTTTTATAATTATTATCGCAGTATGGTAGTATCCATGTACCTCGAATATTGTATGTGTTAAAGCACCGTTTGTGCTGCGTTTACTTGGTACTAAAATAACCAACCGACACCGTGACATATTTTTTCCGATGAATTATTACGACATGAAACGATGTAGAGTTTGACTATGTAAACTATGTATTACTATTACAGTATGATTTTCTTTTGGAAACGTACTCGTTTTCCGCACAGTGCAGCTGTTGGTAAAAAGTAACTAGACGGATAGTATATGGTGCCTATTGAACATTAAATACCTTACATTTTAACAACCTACATTGATTTTGTGAGTATATTGCCTATTGAAAAAATTAATTTCAAAAACTTCATTTAAATTATAAACAAAAATAAAATATTTCAAATAAATGTCAAATAATAATATCAATATTATAATAAACCATAATATTTAATACGTTCAAAAAGAAAAGATTACTTATTTCATTCGAAACAAATGTTATTTAAAATGACTGAATATTAGGACTATGGGTGCTAGAGATACGTTCAAATTTGATGATTGCTTTGACCCAACTTTGTTTACTTCTTCTGTTTTGATTTTCACTGTACTTAGTTTGGTTCGGGCTATGCTGGAATTACTCACATACATATTAATAAAAGAAATAACAGCTTAGTAATATAAAAGCTAATTAAATACATAAGCTTTAATCAGACTGCACATGCTTCCGAAAAAGACTGAATATCGGTGCTGGTAACTGGAAAATGTTTCGGTAGTCAAATATAGAAAGTTCAACAATTAAATAAAATCAACATTTATTTATTTGTAAATGAGAATAAATGAACACTGTTACAGAATACAATGCTTTCTTAAACTAAACAAAAAGCTAAGAAATAAATCAATAAAGTAATACTCATTTCATAGTAATCTATAAGCAAATGTAATAATAAAAATAAAGCGATTAACGGATGTGTTAAGTGAGATTTTTTTAAATAAAAGCGTGGCGAGACACGCTAGAAAAAAAATACATATCGGTATATAAGAAAATTAAACTTTTAATAATTTAATTTTAAAATAAAAAATTTAACGAGTTACAGAAAACCGAATACCCGAATACAAAATATAAAATATTCAATTCTCTTCTTCGTCCTCCTCTGTTTTTTTAATTTCCGTGGACGCCAAGCAGTCAATAGCAGCGAAATCGGTGGGCGATAGCGTTTCCAGGACGGCATTATAGTAAGATTGAAGTATGTTAACGCTTTCCATTATTGCCGTTTCGAACGTCGGATAGTCGGGGTCGTCGTGGAAAAATTGTGTCTGTATCTCGAACCCCTCTTTCTGCGGCCAATCTTCCCAAATGTCGTAGTTCAATTCGTCGGCTCCGATTTTAATAGCGTACGAGTTGTACACCAGTATACCTTGTCGGACGAATGCCTCCAACTTGTCTTTGCTGGAACTTTGGTCGATGTTCAAATTGTCTTCGATGGTGGGCAGGAAACCGATACCCGACGGGCTGTTCAAGTTGTAGAAAATCATCTCCACGACCGGCACGGGCACCTGCATCAGCTTTTTGCGCTCTTCCCGCATACCAGGTCGCAAGCTGGGTTCACTGAGACACACTCGTTCCACCAAGATGTACCACGTGGCCATCAAGAACCGGCAGTGCTTGAGCAGGGCGTAGTAAGTGGTCATCAACACTAGATTCCTGACCGCGTTGGTGTATTTGCACAAGACGAACGAATTTTTTTTCCACGTGTCCTGCACCTCGCGGTAGAGATCGTCCAAGATGTAAGTCTCGTACGTTTCGAACCAAACACTGGGAGGAGCGAATTTCGCGTTAATGTCGTCTCCCATGTGAAAAAACAGGTAAACGTCGAATCGTTCTTCGGTGCCAAACAGGTGCAACGGATCCGAAGCGGGGGCCACTCCTAAACGGGAGAGCAATTTGTCGTTTACGTAGTAGAAATTGGTCTTCTCCACGTCTTTGAGTAATATGATCTTTCTGTCTATCTTGCCGCGTTTGTGACAGTTCTTGAGAGGGGCCACAAACAGCTTGTAAATCCGGTGAAACTCTTTGTCGGTATATCGGTTGTAATCTTTATGCAGAGTGTCGATGAAGATTGCCACAAACCACGTTGCCGGCAGAATAGGCGCTTCCAACATGTACGATATCAGTAGCATACGGTGTATTTGTTTGCTGTACTGAGCCAAAACATGCTTTAAGTCTGTGCAACAAAAATGTTTATCATCGTACATCTGCTTCACGTGGTACAACACATAGAGTGCGGCAAAATCGTAAGCGCACTCTAGAGACAATGTTTTTTCCACGTAGCTTTTAATGTCTGTCAACGGCAATCCTTTGGCCTGTCTTTCCAACAAAGATATTTTGTCGGATGCCGTAATCGTCGTAAACTTTACCTCCATCGTTTCGAATTGGTCTATGACTTCAAAAAAATTTCGAGGTTGCACAGAGCCCTGAAAAGGATAAAACAAAATGTAGTAGTACTGCTTCGTGGCATAATAATATTTATATATAATATATATTATTTATTATTATTTAAGTGTCAAGTACATCAGTTCTTTATTTTTACCAGTTTTTTAAATACATTTTTTTTGCCGATAATAAAAATGTACAACAAATTTAATTGTATTCTACTGGGGAAATTTACACCATAAACTTTATTGTAGGCACAGTTGTACTTAACGAATTAGTGGGGGGGGGGGGCTAACTTATATGAAAACCGTTAAAATAATATATTTTTGGGGATTTCATGAACACATTTGGTATCCTCAAAACAAACAATAGTTTACATTCTGAAATTGTGTATCTCCAGTGTATAAATTAAAGCGCATTGGAACTGTGTTTTTTTTTGTGTTAAAACAACCAGCCAACAATGTGACATATGTTTTTTACGATGAATTATTATGCCTTGGAACGATTTAGTGTTTGACTATGTAAAATAAAATTCTTTTTACAGAACGATTTTCCATTGGAAACGTACGTGATGGCTGTACAGTGCAGCTGTTAAAAAATGTAAGTAAATACATACCTAGTAGATAGTACCTATTGAACATTAAGTACGAGTACAACTGAATAAACATAATATTTTTTGTTATATATTTTCATTTTGAGATGGTTTTATTCGAAAGAGCCCCACGCGTTTAGTGATATTTTTATAGTGATGTTTTTTGATGTTCAGTCATATTCTTAGTTACAATTAATACACTAAATAAATTAAATATACATAAATAAAAGTATTTATATTCATTTATTTATTATTTTTTCACGGACAAATGTCCATTTTCAAATATAGTGATATAGATAACAATATAGAACAACTTAAAGTAAATAACGTATACATAATAAACTTAGGAACTAGATTAAAAAATAGATAGATAAGATATATAGATTAGATAATATTAACTATGGAATACTTATTACATATAAATAGGGGAAATAATTTACTTAAATAAATTATAACATTCAAGATTATTGCCATGGAACATTGAAATATTTATTGGATGATATAAATTATTATTTCGAGTGTTGTGATGAGAGACTTTAAAGTTGATTTGGCTTAATAAAAAAAGCAATCGTTTCAAACTTAATTTAAAGGAATTATTTTTGTAGGCAGTTAAAATGTATTTGTTTTATTTTCAAATTGGATTACAAAAGTGTATAATTTTCAGTGGCCAAGATAAATAACTGCATAGTTGAATTTTCCACCACTAGAGTGCGCCAAGTACATTGGTAATTGTGAACTTACATACATTGTTTCAAAATATAACTTTAACTGCCTGTTCTAAAATATACAATTTTATCGAGTTAGTCAGTTTGGCTTCTGAGCGCCTCATATATTCTATAACGCTATGAGGGTAAAAAGATAAACCGTTTTGCACATACTGTAATAATATAATTAATCGTATTTAAATGTATTTGAACTAAGACTTAAATTCTGATTACCTCTCTGGTATAATGATGCCTCTTTGCACTTGCAGCCGAAACGGCCGAAGAACTGGCATCACTCGAACTGCTTTTACGCTTTTACTACTAAATAACCTTTTAATCATTCCAGGCGTTTCTTGTATCGCGAAGAAAATTATTAAACAACATAAAACGAAACGTTTTTTGGAATTCATTTTAACTTTTAGTATTTCACTTGTTAGCTGTTGAAATGTGCTTTAAAGAAAACGTATACCGTGTAACGTTGGTTTTGCTTTTCCATACGCTTTTAAAAACGTTATAGTGCACACTTTAAAAAGCAACGCATAGTTTAATATTTGCAATTTTATATCTTGTATTGAATTCATTCATACTTAAAATAATATTGTCATAGGTATAAAATGCCTGTTTACACGTGTTAGAATATTATGCGCAGATGTTGTTACTCGTTTTGGAACACACAACACAACAAAATTCGAAACCTAAGACGGATTATACCGGGTCAGTCTTTTCAAAAACCAAAAAAATATCATAAACTTTTCCCCATAAAAAAAATAGATATTATTTCTTTAATTTACTTTTTTTCAAGCCAAGTTTTAAGGATTTAGGTCTGAAAAATAGACCGAAGATAGATAGATCTAGAAAAGGCCTATAACATATACAATTATAAGCCTATACAATTTTCTCAATAATCTGTATTCAAACTTTACTGTACTGGTACTGGTGTTATTTTTTTTATATCATACACTATTGGAAAATTTATTTTTTATTTTTTTCACTATCGTTACAGTACATAGGCCCAATTTCAATAAAAAAAACCGAAGATGCTTAAGCTCTGCGTTTTCCAGGTATTTAAATTTAAATTAATGAGGTTAATTGTTTTTTTTTTTTAGCAAGAATATTGTAAAACAATTTAACATATTTTTAGTTTATTATCAATTGTAATTTTGTAAAAAAAAATAATGAAAAGATTGAAAACCGATTACAAAAACATTAGAAATAACATGTGGGTTTTATAAATTAAATTAATTATGTTTATTTTGAATTATTTATTGTCCTTCATAATGTATTATATTTATATATACTATTTTTGTGTTTTTCATATTATATCCCTTATGAATATAAACATATGGTAATAGATTTTTGTATTTTTTTTTAATTTACTCTATACTTTTTCCATATAGAACCGCATTTTTTCTCACTTTTTTTTTATTTAACTTAATTTAAAAAAATAAAATAACTTGTAGCGTACCATGTTAAAAGTTGAAAAATATCTATATTTTTAGGGAGTTTATTTATATTTTAAAGTAATGGAAAATGTAAACTTATAATATATCACACATATATAATATTATATCTTATATATTATCTGACCACACTGTACTGGCTTTTTTTTCGTTTTGGATTTGTATTAAATAATATATTAAAATTTGTATTTTTTTATTATTATTATGTATTTTTCATAATAATATGTACTTATTTCCCCCCCCCCTTTTTTTTTTATTTCTAGGTCCACCCCTGATTGCCGGTAGGCACACGATAATATTATGTGGCACAATACAATATTGTTGTTGTGTAGATACATAAACGTTGCGGAGAAGACGTCATACGTCACACACCGGACGCGGACAAGACGTAAAAGAAGGAAAAAAAAATTGAAAAAACTAGTTTCAGGAGGACAATGCGCGGACTGGACGCCGAGACGGTGATGGAGTAGGGCAGCTGCCGCACCGGTGCCGATTTTATATATATATATATGTATATCTATGCGGTAAGTGTACAATACATATATATATATATATATAATAATATAATGTATTTTCAGTGTCGGCGGCTGCGGCTGCGGCGGCGGCGGTCGTTTTCGGGAAGGAGAAAGAGACGGTCTCTCCGGTGTGTGGCCGCCGCCGTCGTCGCCGCCGCTGCTGCCGTCCTCGCGGCGACCATTGGGCCAAGCGGTAAACAGACAGCGGGCAGACGGGCCAGTTACTCCGGCACCGTTCTTGCGCAGTACAGGTACGTGCGTGCAGTGCTCTTCACCGGCCGATGCCGCGACGCTGAGCAATAATAACCGCGACGTTTTATACGATGTTATATTATAAAATATAAACATTGTAAAAAATTATTATTATTCTATTTTTTGTTCATTTTATCCGCGTCGCGGATATTTAATATTATTCTACGAACGCAGTGGGCCACAACACCGTCGTCGCGACAAGACCCGGTCCGCGACCTTGCAGTTTCCGCGGCGGCTACCGTTCCTGGCGCGGAGTCCGTGCACCTGGTAAGTACTCAAGTTACTTTACGCCCTATACATTCAGGGATAGGCAAAATACAGTATTTTTGTGTCTTAAGATACAACGTATACAGTATCTTGTATCTTTTTTCAAGACACAAAGTATCTAGCTACCGGTTCAAAATATAAAATCTTTAATGATTAATAATAATAATTTTTTTTTTGTTATCCAATACTTTTATGCTTGGCAAACTTATATTACATTTTAATACTTTGCATAAGTAGTTTAAAAAAATGGCTTCCCACGGTCAGCATGATTACTTATAACGACATAAGAAAAGCAGTGATGCGTTATGTACCAAGATTGTCAATTTAATACCGAGTATGGATTTACAAAACAAACAAAGAAAAAACTATTGGTCGCCTTTTAGGAACATCAGCTGTTGTTCAAATATTTCATTGGGGGTAATTATTTAGACCTGTTAGGGGGGACTGTACAAAACCGGCAAATGAAAAATATCATTTCAACAGTAGCGGACAATGTACAATGTGTATCTTGGTACCACCCTACATAAAGGGCAAGAGCAGGTACCTGTTCTGCTTAAAGACGTTTGAAAGCAGACCGATCCGACCACATGGGGTGAACGGATGAAAAATACAAACTGGAAAAAAAGTGGGGGGACGGCATGATTTATAAGTAATCACATTGATTCGCTATGAAAATGCTGGTGTTTCCTTTTTCTCTAGTTGTATGTTTTTTTACACTATAAAAAATTCCTTTCGACATTTTTTCGATAACAGGTTTGGTCAGACCACACCAGACCATGTACACATATAATATTATGATCTGGAAAATTCCCACCTTGAGGCCGCCCCTGCAGCAGTGCTACTTGAAACCGCCATAAAGGAAGCGAAGCGCTTAATTCGGTTGTAAAGCAAACACCATCTTAATTGGTCGAGCAATTACCGCAGTCTCTTACTTGCACTACACTCGTTACTGTTAAATTTCTTACATTGTTCAAGCAACGTTTTTTGTTTTTGGTAAATTGAGATATTTCGAGTATTTAAAAAAAAACCAACCCCGACTAATGAGTTCTATTTGAAGTTCAAAGCGGAGCTAAAACGTTTGAAATAAGCTGCTGGTCTTCTGTCAATCACCCGGCGCATCCCCCCTCTCTCTCTCTTTGCCTTTCTTTTCTTCCCTTTGTCTCTGTCTCTCTCTCTCTAAATCCTGTAGGCTTAGAAATTATATCTAAAGGGTTTTTTTTTTAACACTGTTTTATGATACACTCCTCGAACGTGTGTAAGGGCCAAGCCCAGATGGAATAGATTTCGATTTCGGGTATTTTTGGAGAATTTTCGGTCGACAAACTAATAACATTCCGATCTCCAGATGTGGTGCACGTGATTTTGGCATCCCTCGAATTCCAGGCGGGTTAAAATATAATATTATAGTAGTTTGTATTGTATAGCTGTTGTTTCCAAATCGACAACACATTTTTTTTTTATTAGAAAAATATACAATCTGTACAGTTAAAAATCGGTACACCAAGCATAAGGTATGATTACAATAAGAAAGATAATATATAATTAGCAGTGTATGACATGACGTGTAAAGATACCGTCGAGTGAAGAGCCTTTTTGATAAAATCGTACAGGGCAAAAATGTGTATACAATATTGTATTTGAATTTTTTTTTTCTATTAGGTTAGGTTAGTTGCCAAGGGCTTTATTATTTAAACGATTAACAATCTTTATAAGTATACAATATACATAGATTCGGAGTAAATATAATTTTATGTTATTATAAATGCAAAGCATGTGTGGGGTTATACTTTCAGTCCTATTCTATTAATCTAACTAGACCAAGTTAAATGGAAGTGTTATAGTGAAAATAAATTACAATTTCTATCAGATACCTGTTGAGTCATTCACTCGAGTATATATTTCTCCTGTTTTTTTTTGGGGGGGGGGGTTCTTAAGAAAAATAAAGTTGGGCTTCAGGTTTTGCCCCAATCAATACTACCTTCAGTCTAACCTAGGCCAGACCTTTTGCCGTAAGACTACACTTAAAAAAGCCAGAAAAAGAGAGTGCATCTTTTCTGGAAAAAAGGGTTTTTTTTTATGTTTTTCAAACAGATACTGAGACAATTACTATAACTAAAAAGTATTCCATACAATTGGGGGGGACAGCGTGGTGAATGGTATCGGCTAACGGGTTTGTTTCACAGATGACTCGGTTGATTATTATTCTATTTTTAACGGCATGATTTATTAAGAAAAGAAAACGGACGAGTGGAATTATTAAGATTAAACATCTCGAAGCTAAAGAAAAAAATCGACCCCTTCGACCGAAACCGCTGACGGACGCTTACAATCGCAATTATATTATTATTATAATTTTTTTTTTTTTTTTGTCAAATCGATGATTAATAGCTGTTATTGTGTTAATTTGTGAAAAAAACAAAAAAGTGACGACCTCCGAGAATTTCCGACCAATTAATTAAACTAATAAAAAATCAATAGTTCAACTGACGTCAGACCTTATTGGCTTTGGACGTTTCAATCAATCGGTCACTCTTAATCGCTTTTGCTTATCCGAAGTTTATGGCGAATACTTTTTTAATTAAACGTGTAAAGAAAAACCGGATAAGAGTTACCAAACAAATATGGTACAACAACACGGGAAAAAATAATTGTACAAAAACCTGTCCAAAGGGATGCCCTTCAAACCCCCCATCCCCTTCTTCCCCGCAGTGGATTAAGCGTTAAAGACGGTCTGTACAAAATTAGTGATTGTGACTGTATTTAGAGTATAGCAATAACAGGGTATGCTGGGTGTGTTAAATTAAAAAAAAAAAAAAAACGCCATACAAATTCACAACGAAAAATATATTACCTGAAATGTTACTATGTATGTTTCTTAATTTTACGAGAAATCCGAAATTTTGGATTTTTCTGAAATTTTAGATACCCGTTTAAAAAGGTTTATGTTTTTTTTTTCAGTTTGTTTCCTTAAACCTTAGACGAAAATTTGAAAAGAAATTACTGAAAATTAAGTGACAATATAAAAAAAAACCGGTTTAACAGTTTTAACATTTTAATATGACCTTTATTTATTTGTAATATAATTTTTCAGATAAAACAGTTTTTTTTATATTCATTTTACATTAAATAAATATTTTCTAGGGCAAAATAAATTCTAGATTTTTACACGGACGGTAAACTTATTGAAACCCGAGTTATTATGGCATGCCAATTCACAGATTTTCTAAATTTTACTACTAGAATTAAAAGATTATTATCTATTGGAAGTAGCCCACGTCAAAATCCACATCAAGTTCTGATGTGTATTACAGGCACGTGAAAAGTGGCTCTCTTAAATGCAGGTAAATAAGAATTACCAATTTTTTATATATTTATCTTTTAAAGTAATATGTACGTTTAATGTCTTCCGGGAACGGTTACAAAAAAAAAAAAAGACATTATGTTAGAATATTGCGTTGTTGTCAATTCGTAGAAACAGTAAGAAAAAGCGTCGAAATTTCTTAATACTAATTAAACTTTTTTAATACTAATATTATGACGTGGGCTACTACTCTCCCGTACTTATCGGCTTGCAGCGATTCGGTTAAGTATACTTAAGTGTACACTTTGGTCAGGCTTTTACAAACAGTTTGTCCGGCTTATACAAAAACCACCTTCACCGTGCAATATATTTTTACACGTTTCGCTCGTGTGCGGCCTTCTTGCACAGCAAAAGTATACTTTATTATCTATAACTTACACACATTTTTTTTCATCTAAACGACCCATTTTTAGGACCGACCTAAACGACCTAGCGGCCCCAAAACTTACAACAAGTCGAACAAGTTTGGTCTAGGTTAGTTTGAATGGCTAAAATGTTCATATATATATACATACATTTTTTTTCATACATATGTTACACACTTGTTGTAAGTCACAAAATTGTTCAGGAGAGCAAAATATTAAACTGTTTGCTGTTTAATAAGATAGGGTTGACTTTGTCTTTCTATCCAACTCGAACTTAACGCTTAAAGTTTTTAATTAACTTGTTTTTGAGCGCGATGAACGAAAAATGTAATTAGGTTTTTTTTTTGTTTTAATGCGGTTTTTGTTTTTAAGTAGAAGTGAATTTTCGTTTATCCGGTTACCAATCGTCGAGACCGCTTTAAAACTATTTCGAATTTTTGTAAAACGTTAAAAAATAAAAATGTTTTCCCATTTAGTAAAAACGCTACAAGATCTTTTTGTATTGATGTAATGCTTTTGATTATTCGTTTTGAAACCGTCTGTTTATTGAACGTTTTTTCTTTTTTTGGAAATTATCGCCACTCAAAAGGCGATACTTAAAGGGGGCAATCGGTTTAAAAAAAATGTAATTCAATTTTTTGTTGCAAATTATTTGAAAAACAAATCCTACAAGTTTCTACCCTTGAAACGTTTAGCTTAAGAGTGTTGTGCGTTACTACAGTTGATGCAAAATTATAATTTTTAAAATAGGTCTATATCTACTTATTACTACTGGCTTTGTAGTGTATTTACAGAACAATAAAACTATGTATTATTATTATTATTTTTTTTTTTTAAGTCAGCCACGTGAATCGTCGTGCCGGCCATAACCTAAGGCTGTACAACGACGATTACAATAATAATAATAATATTATATTGTATATTATGTGTTTTTTAATTAACATTCGAGTCACAAAATACCGACATTGATATATTTGGCGCCCACACGACAGTCGTAAACCGTTTTTTAATGGCAGCCCGGTTTTCTTTGGAACACAATCGTTCACCCCGAGGAGCTGATGATGTGCATTGTGCGCGTTTATAATATAGGTTTATTCTTATTATTATCTCATTATCTCGGCATAACATTATATACAATTATTATTATTATTATTATTGTATTTTTCTTCGTTGCTCCCGCGGTACGTCCGTGCCAAAACAACAACAATGCGCGTTACTTGACATTTGCATTGTTAGGATTTAATTGGAATAATAAAAAATTGCTCCTACACCAT